ATTTCATGAATTTACAAATTTCAATCACATTTTGATTTTCTTAGTTTGATGCTTCCCTTTATTATGCTTTAATTTCTTTCCTGAGTTTAGCCTGGGTGGATTTTTGGCATTCCTTTGGATTTCCTGCGTATGGGTTTGTAAGTGCTACCTGATTTTTCTATTCTGCTGACACTTACTGTTAGAGCCTATCTATAAACTATGTATTTACTGCTTTTTTCAGTGCATAAATCAGTATCTGCCCAACAAAACAAGGCTTTTTGCCAGTTTGACATTTGCCACAAGAAACTGGGGTTTCTCCTTTTTTCCCCACAAATGCTAACTGATCCTTTTTTTCCTTCTTCTTCTTTTCAAGAAGTTAATGTGTTCTTTTTTTAATAGAAGCAAGACTCTGGGTTGGTAAAATTTCCCTCATGGAAACAACCGCAATGACACTGACTAGTTTACTGGAATGTACCTACACCATCTTTTCCGTTTTCTTTATTTCTGTTTTTAAAATGGTAATGGCACGACCAAAGGAGATGTTCAATGTATGTGTTTGGTCAAATCTCCACTCTGGACCGGTTTCCTGGACAAGTTCTACAGCAAGTGTTGGCTTTCAGGCAGTTTATGGGGACAAACTAGTGTGGTTTTATTTAAAACCAAAGTCAGGGGCTAATTTTACAATCAGACATGCCTCTATGGGGCCCTGAGGTTTTTGTCACCTTACCTCAGACACAGGGCATAGTCCCTGAGTCTCTGACTATCATATCTGGGGTTTTATCAGCTGTACCTGGGTGATCTATCTGCATCCTTGGTACATGTGACAAATCCCTAGGAATCTGGTTAACAAGGCAGAAATCTGACTTTTCAGACTATTGGGACTTGTAGTCAGTGTTCCCTGCTGCTCACTCAGAATGTCTCTGTATTTGGGCATGCAGATATTACAAACAGAAACACTCTGAAGAGTTTAGAATCAGAAAATGGGAAAGTCTATTGCTCCAAGAGCAGACTGTTCACTTTATTGCCTCTTGGCATCATACGTTCAAAACCAAAAAGTCCCCATTTGGCAATGGGTAGCAATGGTCAGTTTGAGCCCCTACCCTCTCTTAGTCAAGGGTGAAATATGGCATTCTTGGTGTTACTTTCTCTGGACTCCCAGCCGACTGATGAGTGTTTCTCATAGCCTCCAAGCCCTTGAACTAGGGGCCAGCATTTATATCCATCGATACAGTTTTTGACTCACTGATATTTTTATTTATCACTTACGGTCTTGACCCCCTCTCCCTTCCCTAACAAGTGACAGGAATGTGAGGAGGCCCATCTCAGAATCAGTAATCATTTGCACCTCTCAGGAAAAATGAACACATGACTTTAGAGTCTGGCTTTTAACCAATAATGAACAGAACATCAAACAGAGGTGCAGTCCCTGGAAAACTCAAGACTCCTCGTTAGACCCAATGAACAATGTCTAAAATGGCATGAAAAGTACATACTGACTTCTCTGAATCTTATTCTAAGTTTCAGGTAAATTTTTTTCTTGACAAAGACCCAGAAGAGAACAGGAAGTGAAGAACATGGTACTGGGGGAAAGGACGTGGAGCAGCCCTTTCTCTGAGTCCGGGGTCCATTTCCAGAGCTCCACCTTGCAGCCCACTCCCAGGGAGCCCCCACTGCAGAGCATGGAGATGGAGGTGGTGTCCCTCCACACTTCCTATACTCTCACTAGCTGCCATCGCTCCCTGGGTCTTGACCGATTGACTGTCCCTGATTCCTTTGGACACACTAGAAATTCATCTACAAAATCCAATCTAAAACTACCAACTGCATAGAAGGGGAAATGCCCTCCATCTCTGAACAGACATGCAAAATCACTCTGCACACCCACCCCTACTATTTCTGTTCTAGCAGGCCCCTGGGAGCCAGGCAGTCTCCCAGGTCATGGAGAACAGATCAGGGGTAGGTTCGGTGGTGAAGGTGCTGCAGTATGAAGCATCAGACCTGGGACAGCACTCACGTCCTCTGAGATGGAGATTAGGACTGGACTGCGCTCTCCACATGGCGCACCTGGACCTTTCCTAGGTCTGAGGCCCTGAGCTCCCTGCCACTGCTGTCCATGTGTCCTCAGAGGGCTCACCTCTGGTCCTGGCAGACCCGTCTGCCTGTGGGGGTCTCAGCCTGTGTGGTTCTCATCCAGCCCAGGGTTTGGCTAAATGCATTCATTTCTTGTTTTCATACACAGCATGGCCATGACCAGTCATCAGGTGAGTGCAGGATGCCCCCACCCCACCCATACCAGTTCTGAGTCTAGGCAGCACCGAAACCATGTGGCTTGCCTGGTCAAGACCCATTTCCTTGATATTCATGGCCTCCTGGGGCTCCAGTGCTCCTGTGGTCCCAGACCCAGACAGAAGTGCTTGGGGTCCAAGGCCCACAGACAGAGTTTCAGTACAGCCTAGTGGAAACTGCAGGTCCTATCTTGGGGGTCTCCTCTTCTCCACAGAGGAAGTGAATGTGTATGTATGTGTGTGTGTGTGTGTGTGTGTGTGTGTGAGAGAGAGAGAGAGAGAGAGAGAGAAAGTGTACTCCAGTAACATCTTAGCAACAAGGACATGAAATCCAGAAAACGAAAGTAAAGCCTGCCTTGCATTTTGTTTCATGAAATGAAAGAGATTTGGAGAGACAGATTGAAAAGAGATGAGGGTAAATTAAATAAAATTTAAATGTTAAAATATACTTAGAAATAGACCCCTGCTTATGAATGCATAGACACACATGGCATATCTCTGGACCCGTGGGGGAAGCCAACCCAAACAGAACAGAGGCAGCAGTCTCCCCCATCCCCAGCATGTCCAGGCTAGTCCCACACTGTCCTGCTGGCCTGCTCCAGACATCCGATTCCCTTTGTTTCCTGCCCACCTGTCCATAAGGAAAGACAATTCCAAGATGTTATTCCAAAAACACAGTCTTTCCTAAAACATTTTCAGATGACTTACACTATTCCACAAACAGTGGAGACTCATGGAGCCTTAAGCTGACCAGTCCTACAAGCCCCTCCAAAGCTGAGTGGTAGGTCGCTGCCCCCACATAAGGAGATCCATCTGTGTGTCAGAGGTGGAGGGATGGAGGGTAATTTTTGATGGAGCCCTCCTGGTCTGAAGGAAAGAACCCTCTTTAATCAGGATAAGCATAGTAGGACCAAGTAATGCAAAAATCTGTTTCAGATCCAAACCTTGGTCCCTTAAGTAGATGAGTATCTTGAGAGGGGGGAAAAGGAAGGGGCTTCATCAGAAGTGGTCATGGAGCTGGAAGTGCCTGAAGAAAATCATGGGGGCTAATGGGGAGAGCAGGGAGAGCCACAGAAAAGCAAGGGCTTTGCAAGGTGAATGTCACATGTCTCCTGCTGCTCCAAGTGGTGCAGTGTCCCTACCCGTGATACATCAGTTGGGGAAAACACAGGAACCAGAGGCAAAAGGAGTGGCCTTTGAGTTTCATGGCCTCATTCAGTCTGGGGCAGAAATGCTGCAATCCCTACCAACTGCCAGGACCTGTGAGGAGAAGCCTGGCCCCTGTGTGTGCACATTTGAAATATAGTTGGCTTTCTGAACTCTACCCAACACTACGGTTAAAACAGACATGTACACTTATTTGTTTTTAATTTTTAATCCTGGTAAACATATATAAAATCTACCATCTTCACCATTTTTAAGTATACAGTTCAATAGTGTTAAGCACAGTCACACCATTGTGCAACTAATTTCCAGAACTCTTTCATCTGCAAAACCCATTAAATAATTCCCCATTGGACTGACTTTTTTTTTTAAGATTTTATTTATTTATTTGTCAGAGAGAGAGAGAGAGAGAGAGCATGCAGAAGCAGAGGGAGGAGTAGGAGAGGGAGAAGCAGGCTCCTCGCTGAGCAAGGAGCCTGATGCAGGACTTAATCCCAGGACCCAGGGATCATGACCTAAGTTGAAAAGAGACACTTAACTGACCGAGCTACCCAGGTGTCCCTAGACTGACTTATTTGTTTTCTTTCTTTCTTTTTAAATAACATATAATATATTATTTGTTTTGGGGTACAGGTCTATGATTCATCAGTCTTACACAATTCACAGCACTCACTATAGCACATACCCTCCCCACTGTCTATCACCCAGCCACCCCATTCCCTCTCACCCCCTTCCCTCCAACAACTCTCAGTTTGTTTTCTGAGATTAAGAATCTCTTATGGTTTTAGATTGACTTGTTTTTAATGACTATTTTCTTCAAGAGAATTTCATCTCCTGCTATCATCCCTGTTTGTCCACTTCCTTTTCCACATTCCCCTACCCTGTCTCTGTCTCTCTTTTTCTCAATCTCTCCCTACGCACCCACACCCACACCCACCCACACACACACACATGCAAGCAAGTACATAGAAACAACGCAGCTTACTCTTGAGGTGTCATTGCCCTTCCCCTCTCTTGGTGTGACCATTGTTGACATTTACAGGAGAAGAAACACAAGTTTCCCAATTCACAGAGACCCCACAGGGGAAGACTGCTTCTTCTGCAGGAGCTCTTCCAGCCCAGGTGACCTGTGGACTCAGAACTCTCAGGAAAAAGAGCCTCAGGCTAAAAAGGAGGCTTCCAGAAGGAACCTGTTGAGTTAGCACCCACTGGCTTCAGACCTCTGGAAGGGGTTATTACCCAATCTAAAATGAATCCCTCCTCAAATTTGCAGTGTGGAATGGAATCAGACCTCACTCCATCCTTTGTACTCAGGGACAAACTTATTCCTGGTGGTGAGTCACCAAGTTGCCCAAAGTCAAGGGGTTTCCCTTGAGGCCAAAATAAAAAAGGAAGGAAGAAAAGAAAAAGCAATTGGACGTACCCATCTTTTGTCACCACCTAATAAGAAACTAGGAAACAAAATAAGGAAAGATGCATGCATGAGGAAACCACATTGGTAACACAGCACATGCCATTTATCTTTTCACAGAGAAAGGTGGTGGTGGTGGTTGGGGGGTGCTTCAGAAACCCCTAAGCGTCTGCACACTGCTTCTTCATCACCATGAATTCACCATTCCAGGGGAGTGCTCCAACCAAAAAACTGCACATTACTTTCTGAAAAAAGACCACAACCACAGCAAAATCAGTAATACCAAAAAAGAGGGGAAAATTTGTCCTGTTGCCAGGTATTAGCTTAGGAATATGCTGGAGGATGGGTCATCAGCCATCAATGAGTGCTCCTAGGAATCTGCTAGACCTTTGCAGCCATCAGCGGATACCTGGAGGGGTCTCTGTTCCCACAAGCACCAGGGATAGAAAGCAAATACTAACAATCATCATGTTTTGCTGGGAGATCAGATGTAAACTTGATTTTATTTTTAATTCTCTCTAATATTTTCTGTAGTGTAAAGAAAGCAATTCTATGTCAGATATGATCTAATGTATGTTATCTTAAATAATTAAATAATGTATTTTGTTCTAATAACAAGTCTAATAATGCCTTTTATTCTAATAACCAGACCAGTCTGGAGGGCTCTAGGGCCTACCATCTTTTATTCCAAAGAGACTTTCTCTCCATTTCAGAACATAAGCAAGAGCATGAAGGACCATAAGAGAAGAGAGGGAAATCCAAAGGGGGAGAAATCAGAGAGGGATTTGAACCGTGAGAGACTATGGGCCCTGAGAAACCACTGGGGTTTTCAGCGGGGAGGAGTGTAGGGGGAGAGGGTAACAGAATGTTGGGTATTGAGGAGGGTATGCTCTGATGAGCACTGGGTGTTACACTTACTAATTAATCATTGAATACTGTGTCAAGGACTAATTATGTATTATACAGTACTATACAGTGGCTAACTGAACATTAAAAAAAATGAAAGAAAGAAAGAAAGAAAGAAAGAAAGAAAGAAAGAAAGAAAGAAAGAAAGAAAGAAACCACAGACCTGCAGAAAGCCTTCACCAAAATCACACTTAGGACTTGGATCAATGTGGGGCTGTCCCCACCTCTGAGATCAGAAATACAGGCTTGAGGCTAAAAATCCCTGGGCCAGATCAGCCCTTTTTTGGGGGGGTCTCTGGGCTCTTCCATGACCTTCCTGGAAATCATGGCTGAGCCTGGCGAGAATCAACTGTAAGTGTGAGGGGATGGGAACACTGTCCAGCCTAGTCACTGCTTAATCTCCAGCACCCAAAGTACCACCTGGGGCAAAGTAAGCTCTGATGCATAGCTGAGTGGATGAATGAGTTTCCTTTTGTGTCTTCACAAGAATGAGCAATCCGGGGCCAGCAATGGCTGAGTTGCTCTAGGTCCTCTGGGTCCAAGAGGACAGACTTTCAATGAACATATGTTGTCAAGTTTTCCTACACCAAGAGGCCAGAGTTGATTAATCCCTTGCAATAAGGGTGACCCTGGCAGCATTCTGCCCCCAGGAGGAAGGGTAGGGAAAGACTCAGAGAGATGGGTTCATCACATTCCCTTGTTGTCTATCCTCTGCTCTAAAGCCCACTTCTGGGGCAGAACTTTGGGAGTGATCCAGGCCTCAGAGGATACAGGCAACCCGAGTTCTTCTGTCTGGGGCTCAGAGCAGCCGAGACCATCACAGAAATTTGGTCACCTACCTTTTCCAGTTTAGAGTTCTCTTGAATGGAACAGTTTTCGGTACTGTTTGAAAACTTTCTACAATTGCTGCGGCCAATTATGACATCAATAAAGTATTCCAAACGATCCGTAATCTGTCAATTAGCAATGGTGTCATTTTATTCAAAAGATTTTTATTTTACTTTAAGTTTTAGCCAAAAAAAAAAAAAAAAAAAAGAAACCCACAAACAACAACAACAAAACCACTCTCCCCCTCATCCTCTCTCCCTATCGCCTAATCCCCATCCCCTCTCTTCAGAGTCCCAGAGTCCAGGGCATGCCCATGGTCCATGAAGAATCAGGGAGAAGAACAAGGTCACCAGAACCATCAGCTGTCCTGGGCCTGAGATACTACAGGTTCCCAGAGGCCAGAAGAAAGGACAGGCCCTGCGGCCGCATTGCATGCTCCTTTCTGATTCCTTTCCCACACCCTCCCTCCGAGTCTGCTATCTGGTGACATCTCTTGCTTTGGAGGGCTTCTCCACCACCTGAGCCAGCAGTCCTTAAAGGGGCCGTGCTGGCTGGAGTTGGTTTTGCTGTTCTCTGTTGAGTATTTTGTAAGCAGAGAAGCAGTAGGTCCGCAGTAAGACATCAGTAGTTTCTCAACTCACTAATGGCTGAGTGTGGTTAAGACCACTCATGATGCTCATTTAAATCACTTTTTATCTGGTTTTAAGAGATTATGGCAGGAGGCAAAGGGGGTGTCTTTCCTCATGGCTGTCTTCAAGTCTTTAATAAAATTGTATTACATTTTAGCTACATTCCAAAGAGTTAACAAGGTGACTCTGGCCTGCCATGGGGGAGAAGCTGGTTAGTTGACATCAACAAGACACTGACAGAGTTGCCCCTAGGGTTTGAGTGTTAAGTTGGGAATCTCGAAAATATCATGGAGGCAAACCCAAACACCAACAGGACTTGTTTCAGTCCTAATACATGCTAACCCTCACTAGGTGCTTGTTCTTTGCCTGACACTGTTCCTCAAGCTTGGCATTACAGTAACTCAGGCTGCACACTAGCCCTCTACTGGGAGGCTGTCACTCCCTCTGTTTTCCGTAGGGAAACTGGGCAGAGGAACTAAGTGACCCTCCATCTAGCGGGTGAGACCCAGGGGTCCAACAGAGGTAGGTGCCCAGAACTAAACTTAAATCCCTAACCCCCGTGATCCACCCTTTCCACACTTCTGCCCTCTCTACTCAACCAGCCAGAGAGCAGCAAAAGGCTGCGATGTGCTCATTGCCAGGGAGATGCAAACCCGACCTGAGGGAAGCTAAAGGCTGTTGGTTACATGATCACTTTCACTGAACACTCACAATCCTTTCTAAAAATAACTAGACCAGAATGACAGTTTTAAAACCCCAGTCTGATCACATGGATCCCAAGACCTCCCTGACTTAATGTCTATGTGGCTTCTCAACACTCCTAACATAAAAGGTTTTTCCCATGACCTTCAAGGCCCTGAGGAGTCTGGCCCCTGCCCACCTCTCTGGCCAGTCACAGTCTCCTTTGAGTTGCTGAGTGAGCCATGTCCCTTCCAAGTGGCAGCCAGCTATACCCAACTGCTCTTCCTAACCCCCGTGCAGTCCCCCAATCCTCCTGGCTCCCCTCCTGTAGCAGATGCTGTGAATGGTGCCCATGTCCTTTGCTGTTCCCAAAAACTGCCACTTCCTGGGGCTCCCTGCCTGGAGGCTTCTTGACCTGTAGGAGCCAAGAGCACCTCTTAGCAAACAGTGGATGGGAGTTGATGGTAAGCAACTGAGCTTCCCTCCTTGCAGGGTGGCCAAACTCTGAGGCAGGCTCTGCATCTTTTCCCAAGGCCACAGGGAGGCCCATAGTGGTCACCTACACAGTAACTTATTCTGTACTGGCCACTTCCCTGCCCTCTCTCCCTCCTCCTCCGGCCTCCTGGTGCTTCCTGGGATGGCCTCCCAAATAAACTACTGGCACTTGAATTCTAGCACTAGGATCTGCTGTGGGAAACCTAAACAAAAAGACTTCCAACCAGCATCCTTCACTTGATTCCCTCCTAGTTTGCCCTCAGGTTTAGCACCAATATCACTCCCTAGAGAGGTGATTCTCAGCTTTGACTGTGTATTGGGATCACCTGGAAGGTTTTAACACATGTGGAACCTGGGTCCCACCTAGAGATCCTCATTTAATTGGTGATGGTGAGGCCAGTGCCGTAAAACATTTGCAAGTTCCTCAGGTCCTTGCCAGGGAAGCCTTCCCCTGACCTCTGGACCCCCGGGTACCATATCATCAGGTCAGATGCCCCAGCTCTCATGCTGGGTTTGGCACTGTTCCTTTCTGATTAGGCTGATGGATCCCTACAAGTCTGATTATTTCTGTCCATCTCACCACCTCACTTACAGCAGCTAGCGTAGAACTGGCGTGGGAGAAACTCACTGAATATGTGTACTACTTGGGTGCCAAAGAAAGACAATTGCAATTGTAACAATTGGTGAAGTTACAAGAGGAAGAATCCATTCCTCTATTTCAAAGGGCTCCAGGGGTTCTCCAGGTGGATTGTGCAGTGTGCCAGTCAATAAATAGAGGGCCATCAGCATGATATACTGGAAATTCCGACTGTCAGCTCACAAGGTCCCGAAAGGATGGGGTCATAAGTGCCAACATGTACACTGGCTCAGCTTCTGCAAATGGACACACCATACGGAGATATAAAAACTGGAGTAAACTCCACCAACAATGACCTCTCTGTTGAGTATCTTTACAACTCACTCCCGCAAGTTTCGTGGTAGAATTACAAGCCACACCATGAACCTGCAGATGGAGGATGGTACATTAAGTTCAGTCCCCACTCTGGGGTCTTCCTCTTGACCATGGCATACAGAGCCATGTGTTGCAAGCTCCGGGGAGCGTCATCCTCAATAGAATCCAACTAAGCAATGTTTCCTAGCACTGGGCCATGCCTGACCCTGTGAGGAGGGATGCAGTTTTAGCAACTCAGAATCAGATTGTCTCCACTTGCACTAAACAAATGTTGGATTCAAAGAATTATAGACTATAGGAGAAGAGAATTTATTACCTATATATTAGATAGACCACATGCCTCTTTTCAACCCCACAATCTACCTTATGTGGATAGATTGAAATGTTGTCCATGGCAGCATTATTCCAGAATATTCCTGGCACTCAATTTGTCTCCCAACCCTAGCAAATACAAATCACGAGCATTTGATTTGCAGTTTGGAGTTTGAGTGAGTTAGTACACATAAAGTACTTAGAACAGTGGAAGCATACATAGAAAGTGCAGGGATGTCACAGTGACATGCAAAAGTATAAGTAACTTGATCACTCACATACTTAGGACTTTTGTATATCATTGTTTTTCTCCCATGAACACTCTTTCAGTCTGGCTTCAATCAGGGCCACCATAGGCACAGTGCTTAGTGGGAGGGAACATCTTTACCTGCAGCTGGACTTGTACTGTCTTGACCACTTGGAAGAGGTACTTATCCTCACTTTCTTTGTTGTATTCTTGCATGGCAAACCAGAGACACTGCTTCACGTTGGCATTTGAGGCATTGATCACTTTTAATTCCTTCAACACCTTGACCTTATTTTTGCCTGGATCTGTGCTGGCCACCAGGGCCACCAAAATGGTGAGCAGGAGCAAGCAGGTCCCCCAGGATCTAGTCATGGGCCCTCCGTCCCGGTACACAAGCAAGCCCCCTCGTTCTCCCATGGCTGGAGCGGCAGGTAGGGTGGGATGGCTACGGTTGCTGTAGGTTCAAAGATCTAAAATAGCATCAGCCCAGTTGGATTCAAGAAAGAGCCATTAGGTTCCCTCTTTAGGGCTACCCCTGTCTCCGAGGAAATCAACCCACAAGAAACCAGTTAAACCCTGCTACTGGCCTTCTGCCATCCATCCCCCAGCTGTGGTCTGTAATTCCAAGGAGAACACTTAGACCCAGGTCTGCTAGGACCTAGACTAGTCACCTTACCACCCACTCCTGCTTCCGCACCTTAGGCCTCTAAGATGTGACTGTGGAAAGTGTTGCTGCCCCAAGTTTTCCTGGCTTTGGCTCTCTGGGGTCTCTCCAACCTGCTATACCCACTGGCTGCTCCCTCTTCCTTGTGCAGTTGGCTGTAACCCACACCTCAGCCAGTGGTTCTCCTGGGTCTCTAGCACTCAATTTGTGCCTAATCTCTGGTCAGCACCCCCCCCTCACTCCTGATATCTTCTCTGTCCATGCCCCTATAGGCAGGGCACACTTTGTGACATAATTCAGCACCTGTGACGCAACCACTGTCCTTTGGTGCAGAGAGCTCACACACAGTAGGCAAGCTGTGGGGACCATCCAGAGGTCTCCTGTTCACCTGCAGAGTAACCCCAGCTTCCTCAATGCCTGGCCTCAGGACCCCCTCTGTTTGGGCCAATAGCACTTTCCTCTGCTGTCCTACCAGGGTGAGGGTCACCCAGCCAACCTGACGGCCAAACATGTGCTTTAGCAAGAGGGGGCGTATACATGCCCTGAGCTCTCAGAGATTTTGCTTCTCTGTGAAAATCCCAAACCAATGCCCAACAAGTTCCTGGAGGAACTGAGAGGTAGATCTTGTCCCAGGGCCAGAAGACTGATGGGCTGTTGACCATGAGAAGTGGCAATGCATAGAAAGCAATATGCAGGCATAAGTCGGCATGTCAGGTTGTAAAACGTTGCAGTGTAAATACACCATATTGTATTTTAACTGCCTGTTAACATATGTTTTGCTTGTTTCCCATTTACAGCTGTTACAAACAGTACTGTAATGGGCAACACTTTTCCAATATGTTTGTGAAATTACACAGGTATTTCCATATAATAAAAGGCTAGATGGAAAACTGAGGCAAAAGCTTTACCTAAATTAAAATTTAGTGTATATTGCCCAACTGTTAAAAATGTATTAATAATGTATTAATGACTTCGAAATATTGCTACATGTTAAAAGCACCTGGGAAGTTTTAAGAAGTACCTAGGCCACCAGTAAAATCAATCTTGGGAGAGGGCCCAGGGACAAGGAAGCCATCCCAGGTTTCAGTGTATAGCCCTGAGAACTAGTGTACTGCATTTGTGCCTCTTGGGTATCATTGTACACATGAATCAGGAAGCAAAGTGATCTTCATAAATAATTTTTTATCAAAAAAATACAAAGCCAATTTGATCACACTTTGATTGTGTGCACCCACATCTTCAACCACATGTCAGCCTCTCCCACCTCACCAAGGACCAGATGGCACCCTGCCTCCCCACCCAGGCCCAGCTTCTTTACCAGAGCTTGATATTCCCTCACCTCCACCCAGAGGCTCAGCCACCTACAAGTCTCAATACAGATGTTACTGCCTCCATCCAAATCTAAAGTGTCTCTCCCACCTACTCCCAGCTACTCCTACCTACTCCCAGCTACTCCTGTTTACACTTGCTTATTCCCAGCTACTCCCCTCTACTCCTAGATACTCCCCCCTACTCTCATCTACTCCCACCTATTCCCAGCTACTCCTGTCTATTCCCAGCTACTCCCACTTACTTCCAGTTATTCCCAGCTACTCCTGCAACAGTCATTCATAGCTTCTCAGGCCAAGCAGATCACTAAAGACTAACCCCAAAGACACAGCCCAGTAGACAGGGAGTCCTCTAAAGTGGAAGGTCTTTGGAGCAAGGAGTCCCACCAACCCAGGGCCCACTGAACCTGTGCTGCTAAAGTTACTCCATAAACTGCCTCTAAGCCCTTTCCTAATTAATTGACAAGTTCAAAACATCTGTTTGATTTTCTCTGACTCCATAGTGCATTTGAGTATTTTGTTTACTTGGTTTTTTTTCTTTTCTTATGAATCCTAGTTGCCCAGAGTTTGTTTAAATATCATCCTTTCCTTTGTTCATGACACACCTGACATTAGTCCACGTGTGGCTCTATAAGACAATGAACAGTCCACAATCTATCACCTAAACCAAGAGTGAGAATGTTATCAATATTTGACAATATGAGCTCCCTTATTGTACATGACACCCTATATACTCCCTGCCTTTACTCAAGAGTTTTATCACCAGTATCTGCACACATGACAGGCTCAGTTTTGCCTGTTTTTGTACTCTATAAAAGTATATCTACCACAGTTTATGTAAGACTCCTGGGACTTAGATTTTTACATTCCACATTATATAACCAAGTGTTACACACTGAGTCATTGCTGCAGTCCTCAAAGCCCTCCTGTTTAAGAATACTTCATCTAAGGGTGCCTGGGTGGCTCAGTGGTTTAAAGTCTCTGCCTTCAGCTCAGGTCATGATCCCAGGGTCCTGGGATCAAACCCCGCATCAGGCTCTCTGCTCAGTGGGGAGCCCGCTTCACCCTCTCTCTGTCTCTGCCTCCCTCTCTGCCCACTTGTGATCTCTGTCTGTCAAATAAATAAATAAAATCTTTAAAAAAAAAAAAAGAATATTTCATCTACACCCTTTGCAGTGACTTCTCAGGGTCTCTCCTAGAGTGGATGGAATGTGTTTCCCCATCCATGTGATGGGTTTCAGCATATGGATGGTTTAGCCCTGTGCAGTAGAGGCAGAAGTGACCATGTGTCAGGATTATGGTGAGATGTGAAGACATACTGCATTTTCCACTTGTTCTCAGGTGATTTTCCAAGTAAGGGGGTGCCCTAGGATGTAGTCTGAGAATGTGCTGGGTAGGAACACCTAGTCTGGACCCCAGAACCATGTTCTGAACTCATCTGAAAGTGAGCCCAACTGCATCAACCTGAAGTAAAGCCATACTAGCATGCCTCCTAGACCAAGTATAGTGTAAGTGCCTGATGCAAACCTTATTGATTGCAATGTAAGTGCCTATATTGAGCTATTGACTTCCAAGGGATCCATTTCAAAGACATCTAACTCAAACAAACACTGCCAGCTGTAGGACACAGGTACAAGCAAATAACTAGATAAGGAAGCAGACCACCCCACCCATGAACTTCCCTTTCTCAGAAAGCCCTCGGTGACTTAGATAACCTGACCATGTGGGTAACCCTGCTTCTCCTTTCCCATGCTTCACCTCCTATTCTTTTTTTTAAAGTTTTTTTTTAATTTATTTAAGTAAACTCTATACCTAACATGGGACTCGAACTCACAACCCTGAGATCAAGAGTCACGTGCTCTTCCAACTGAGGCAACCAGGCGCTCCTCCACTTCTGGCTCTTATGCCTTAAATTCATTGATAAAGAATGAACCCATGAAACCCTGTATACCCAACCTTCAGCCTCTAATAAGGGTGGAGCCCCAGGTCTGTGTGCTTTCTCTCTCTCTGAGACCTCACTGAAATATACTACATACCCACCAGGACTTGTGATTAAATAATTCTTGTTTTCCAGAGTTCCCTGATGGTTTTGCAGAGATGTGTCCTGCTATTATAATTGAACCACAGGGGCAAGTCCATCCACCTTTTCCCAGTGGGGCACAAGGGAAATATCTGTGGAGCTTGCTATTAGAAAAGACAGGCCCAGGAGAGTGCCTCAGGCAACAGTGTGAATAGGTTAGCAACAGCCAGCCAAGCTACAGTCAGCTTCTAGACCCATGTACCAGATATTGGATGCTTATTTTGGTTAGCTACCAGGGTAAGTAATGACTTAGTATAAAGCATTTCTTTGCCAAGAGCTGACTAGTACACTCAAATTCACCCAATTTAAGCATATTGCTAGTGTGTTCCCACTTCTGCAGACATTAGCACTTCTACTTTTCTCCTTTACATCAGTTCATCTTTCTTTCTTATCTTGTTGTCCTCTCCTGTTGCCTTCTGAGAACTTTTCCCAGCCAGTTTGTCCACCCCTTGATTCACTCCTCTCATGTCTTAATACCCCATCCATTTCTCTACTATACCCATTCACCCCTTTGGTTCTTTACATCTACTATGTCCTGTGGTTCTTTTTTTTTTTTCTTTTTTTTTTAAATAAATGTTTGTCTATTTTTTTTTTCAGATTATGAAAACCTTTCTTTACCTTCTTAAACATTTTCTCTTGCTAGTCTTAATTTTTTAGCCATCTTTTCTGACAGTTTTGCTTCAGAAGGTATATTATAGAGCAGGGATCAGCAAATTTTTTCTGTAAAGAGGCAGTTAGAAAATATTTCATGCTTGGCAAGTCATGTGATCTCTAAGACTTTCTCAGCTGAACCACTATAGCATGAAAGCCACCGGAGGCAATATGCCTCTGTTCCAATAAATGAGTAAGTATTTCTGCTCCAATAAAATTATTTATAAAAACATGCTGTGGGGGGTGCCTGGGTGGCTCAGTGGGTTAAAGCCTCTGCCTTCGGCTCAGGTCATGATCTCAAGGTCCTGGGATTGAGCCCCACATCAGGCTCTCTGCTCAGCGGGGAGCCTGCTTCCCTCTCTCTCTCTCTGCCTGCCTCTCTGCCTACTTGTGATCTCTCTCTCTCTGTCAAATAAATAAAATCTTTGGGGAAAAAAAAAAAACATGCTGTGGGCCAGATTTGGTCCACAGGCCATAGTTTGATCACTCCTATTTAGAGTACTAAGTTGAACCACAAGGAATGACTAATATTTGACTGGTAAGGATCTATAAAAATAGTGGGTTTGTATGGTTTATCTTCATAATTATACTCCTCAGGTATTTAGTTATCTTGGCCAGCAAGTCCACATTCCCCAGAGATATTCATTCTGGAGACTCTACAGGGAAATGCATTTCTTTTTTCTTTTCCAGCTTC